GGCAAGGGGAGGGGGGAGGCCGCCCGAGCTCTCTGCCGGGTCGTTTACCGGGTGGGATGTGGCCCTGGTTTCGAGGGAGTTAAAACGGCTGAGAAGTGATTAAAAATGAAACTGAACTTTGCTCGATTGAGAGGTGGAAAAACCGCTGGTAACGTGTGCAGAGGAGATAATCTAGTTACAGATTAGCCCCGGTTCCTCCTTGCATCCTGCTTTGCTCAGCATGACTATATACAAATAATCCCAAGCGTCCAAAGATTAGCTAGCTCGGGAGTTTAAGCTGCTCACACCCTCTGGCTCGGGTGGAACGGGGTTTCCGGGGGGGAAGTTCTCCCGGACAATGTGCTCGGATTATAGCTGTGTATTTTGCCCACTTCTGATGAGTCCTAGAATAGCTATAGAAACTTGAACCGCGGTGCCTGGGCTTGGACGACCAGGTGTCCTTGCTGCAGAGTGTCCTGGGAATGGGCTGGAAAGTGAGAACCAACCATTTTGATCTGGTTTCATATAACTCAGAAATGAGCTGGTTTGGGGCTAGCCTGAGCTATTGGGGTGGTGGGGCCGGGGCCTCAGGGCTCGTGCTGGGACTGCTTTTGGCGTGCCACACCGCATCCAAACCCAGATCGGGATGGTGCCTGGCACAGACGGGTGGTGTCTGCATTTCCTCCTGAGATGGCATGTGGCAAAACGTCTTCCTTCTTGCAGGAGGATGTTCCAGTTTTTTGTTGTTTTTTAATGCAAAGGGCTTAATTTTCTTCCTCGTGTCCTTAGCTGTGCTGATGCAAAAGACTGTGGGTTCAGTTACCCTGGCCAAATTCACGGACGTGCTTCTCTAGGGGTGGCTATCTTCATGTGTGCAGAAAGGGAACTGGCTTCAAGAAGGCTTCCTGTTAGTTTGAGCAACAACAAGCAATGCCTTTCAGTTTCATAAGGGCTTGTCTTGTTTGCTTATTCATGAGGGGGCACTACAGGCTAAACTGGGGAATTCTGTTGTCCCAGATGCTAAAACCATTAATGGTGACGCATCTGTCTGGCCATGGGTGATGGTCCTTCGTTCTGGCTTGAGGGGCAGGGCTCGTGCCAGGCTGCAGACCGACTTCTGTGCTTCTGACGTGGTGGGGCTTCAAAGCCCTTGTGAGACAGGGGAGTGTGATGTGCACAGAGATGGCAGCTGTGCTCTGAGGTGGGGAGGAAGGAACTAGAAATGGGTTGTGGGCTGGTTTTTGTCTGGCCCAGGCGACTGTGGGCAGCAGAGCCCTCTTCAGAAGCAGGCAGGTACTTGCTCTCAGTCACTGACGCTCAGCAGTGACTCGTGCAGCTTTTGGACCTAGAGCGTGGGGGCTGCATCTTCTCACGGGTGGCCTCACAGGGGATTCAGTGACATGTGTGTGCCTGCCTCTAAACCGGCATCTCTTGCCGGAATG